GTGCGCATATCTACACAGCGAGTACAATTACTAAAACTGATTCGTATCCATACTGAACGATTTTTAGATTCTCACTATCAATTTTTTTATATTTCTAGATTTCCCTGGCATTTCTTCTSATATACAGCATTGCATCGTTGGCCGTCAATGCTTTTTATTATCTGTACAAATCCAGGAAAGCAGGRTACATATTCTTTGCGCTGATGCCACCGATATGCTCGGTGTATCCTCTCTGTTTAGCCGCCTGGGTRACGAAACAATACAAATGGTACGTTATTTACAGTAAAGTGAGTGAGTTGCTGAGTGAGTGAGTGAAGGAGACTCTAACTCTAAAACACTATCTTATTTTTCTAATAAACACTAGGTATCTAGCGGTGGTTGTAAAGGCATGGGCAGAACGTCCCGAGAGTTCAGACGAAGAGGAAGAAAGCGGGTCAGACCGACCACGTCACAAAGACAAACATAAATCGTTCGGCAGGAAATTCACCAAACGAGTGAAAAGTGCAGGAAGGAAAGATGACGCTGAGGATGGCAAGCCCCGCAGAAGAAGCATTTTCAAGCTTGCAAAGCCACAGGGAAGCGAGGCACTCTCTGATAAAGACAACGATCCTGGGAAAAAGGTCAAGAAAGAAACGCGTCGAGGTAGCCTTTTTGTCCGTTCTAAGCCATTATCAGGTGGTTCGTATTCGGATACTGAGAGTTACCCAATGAAGAAGAAGAAGGAAAAGCCCAGGCGAGGAAGTCTCTTTGTAAGGCCAAAGTCTGCAAAATCTGCCAGTTCCTTTGAAAACGAAGGCTATTCTCGGGAGAAGRGGATCTTYGAAGAACTTTCACCAACTAAGAACACATTTAAGATTCACAAAGATGATGAAACACTATSTGTCAGTGAAACAGAGAAGATTTCCGACATTGAGACAGCAAATCAGAATTTAAATCGATTAAATTACAATTCAGATAACATTGATCCTCTTCAGAATACCGAAAATATACCGAGTTTTAGACCACCGAATAGACTGGAGCCGTTGCCTAAAACAACTTCACCAAGCAAAAACAAAGAATTGACAAAAAACGACGAAATYCCGAAAGACATCCCACAAAACATGGCATCACAAAATAGGCTAAAACCAATCGGTGTAAGACGACCTGATAGCGAAGACGAGGCGACAGACGACGATAATCAACCTAGAACGGATAACGCAAAACCGAACATAGACCGACAGAATATCGATCGAAATAGACTAAAGACATCACCCATTACAGAACCAATCAGCGAAGATGACGCGACCGATGACGACMATAACCCGAATGAAACCGAAAGCAAACGGAAGGCAAAACGACAAAGGGTGATGGAGCTTATCTTACGAGGAACAGCAAGAGCAGTAGGACGACTGCAACATCGCGCTAAATTACCGAAGTTTAACTTCGAGAAATACATTTCSTACCTACAAAACGTTTTACCTACAGTAGGGTTCAAGATAATGGGAATTACRGTAACATGGGAAATGGTTTCAACGTTGCTTTTTCTAGAGGTTTCTCTTTTAGCACTGTTCTTGCAGGAATCCATATTTGGAAACCAGACAGCCCAAGTTTCTTTGTAAAAGTTTCCATGACAACAATGACATCATTCAGTTACCATGGCAATGAACTCAATGAACAAACAATGCACKTAGAATATGTTCACATTTGAGATATATCAAAGAAATTTCATAAAATATCAAATATTTTTGTAGAAAAAGGCGATTGAATTTTTTAGGAAAGAAGAATTGTATAAATACGCGGAATAATATCAAACGAATAAAACGAWATTTGTTTGCATTTGATTTGCAATCGACCTGCATGTAATAGAAGAAGGGACTCATTACTTTCAAATGTAAATATTAACCCTAAAGAGGGTGAAACAGGGCTCTCTTTGATACTCCTCTGAACAACCTCCTCTCCCTCCCCTCCCCCATCCGCACTTACAACCTCCTCTCCCTCCCCTCCCCCATCTGCACTTACAACCTCCTCTCCCTCCCCTCCTATCTGCACTTACAACCTCCTCTCCCTCCCCTCCCCTATCTGCACTTACAACCTCCTCTCCCTCCCCTCCACAGTGCAATACAGTAATATGCATGTTCAGGTTATTTTTCTGTGTTAAAAGTATAAAAATATCGCTAGATATTACAATGTTCATAATACTAATAGTATTCTAAAATCATTTCTACCATAGTTAGTACTATGTTTCTACCGACTGTAATGTTCACTGATATTAACTTCTATTGATGTATTATTGTTAAAATATTCCTAAAAAGCCTGCTTATCTAATAAATAATCAGATTGTTTTGTACAAAAGTTCTGTCTGGTGTCGTTAAGTAGTCTTATCAGAAAATAAACTTAGTTGCTTGGTCTTCCTGTGCATATACACAGGAGGCCCACAATTAGCCATGTTAGCTTACTCAGGTAACCCAGCCATACAACATAAGAAACTGTTCTAAACAATAGATAAGCTTATTTGTACATGATGTTTGATTGGATACTTGTCAGGATAGTAGACCATAAAAATACAGTCCTATAACGTTGCTGTTTTGAAGGTTTACATATTACATGTGACACATATGTAGCCTACCACAGATATCCCAACTGTTCAAGTGTCCTTGCTGATTGCTTAGGCTCTTAGAGCTTTGAATTGAGTGAATACATTAAGRATGTGTGTGTCAAGGTCACTGGTGAATAACAATGTTTCCAAGGTAGTGATGTATTGGAACACTTGATCATGRTTCTGAAACATAAGTTACAATTATATGACTACAAGAAAATAAACTGGTTTAGCCTGATTAACACAGAACTGGCAACTGGTATRTTGGAGTATACTATGATTCAATATGACAAAAATGAGCTTTAAACTACATGTGGTTACTTACCATTAGTAGAACTTCTCGAAGTCTTTCAATRGTGTATTTAAACCAGGGTGTTTCCATATTCAGTTGGTGCTGTTCGCAGCGTACRATATGCTCCGTYAACATCATAATAAATCGCTGTAGATAATAATAATATTTAATCATTCGCTTTCTCAACCAATCATTTACCATTTTTCACTTTTTCATTGATTTGTTCATCCATCCACTTCCTCATCCATTCATTTGTTTATTCACATTTCCATTCTTTTATCAGTTCTTTTATTTATCGTCATTCCAACCTGAAATAATATGAGATATAGCTGCTTTTGTCCTCGTTGTGCATTTTCTAGTTTTTCAGTAAGYTGYTCAACACTTGCTTTCTTTCTTTCTATATCATCTGCTAGTGTGGGGTCTCGTGGTCTGTCATCATCTGTAGTTAAACTCTGTTTAACAACACAAACATCAAACRTTATTAAYTGTTCATAGAACAATGCAAAAACAGTAAAGAAAACAAGGCTGGGAATTGATGGATTGTTGRTGATTATGACTGGTTGACCTGTTTATAAAGAATGCTGCAATTTAATGCTCAATGATGACTGAAATAATGCTGCCGTACCTGTCGTTGTGCTCGTTCCTCCATCTTTGCTAACTGGTCATTGACTTCATTCACTTCATTTCGAACCTAAAAGAAACACAAGCAGGCCTTAACTCATGAAACAAACTAAAACAGTTAGAACTAATTTTTTTAATTCATTTGACAATGTTTTTTTTTCATATATACTAAATGTATTTCTTACCTTAATTGTGTGYTTACTCATTTTACTCAATGTTCCTTTCATTATTTCCCATGCATAACATCTGTTACATGATATACAAACCATTATTTACAATAACATTCAACTACACAGGGTCATATTTGATTAAACATTATTTTCCTTTATAATTTTCATTCATGAACCCTCACCTGGTGAAATCTTSAGCCATGTCATTAGAGAGAAGCCAGTTCACGACAGCAGAACATTCTACAATCTGCATTCTCACTAGTTTGTCAATTAGTATCACAATCATCTGTAAAACAACAATTTCAAAGTATTACACAGTGTACTTCACATTAATTTTCCTATAAAAAGGAAAATAAACTGCCCAAGTAATTGATAAAGAACTAAATTTCAAGGTATTCCTTGAAAATGATCAGTCGATTAGTACTTTGTAGATTGTTTTGTAGTAATACAACTTGTAGAATTATAACATTCACTCGAAAATAAAATGATCTTAAACTTTTATGCAAGATGTAKCAAACCTGAGGATGGGTATCCCAGAATTCTTTGAGGGTCTTCAGAAGGTGAATTTGTCCATCCTCATTGGTGATCAAAGATTTGAACATTTTATGGTACCTGTAAGTAAAGACAGTGTTACAGTGGGTAGCATATGGGCAGTTAGATAAATGGATGGACAGACAGATTGATGTGAAGGGCTGAATACATCTTTTCAGTTGCTCTTGATCCTCGACAGCGTGTTAAATATTCTTTTGAATTTGTAGGAATGTGAGCAATGCAAACATTGATATGAATAGTCTCACATTTGTCAAATTCAAAAGAATAATTAACTTGCTATCGAGGCCTAAGTGCAACTGAAAAGGTGTATTAATGAAGTTGACTATCCAATGGACTGACTGGCTAGTCTTTTTCTAATACAAAATGTATTTACAGAAGTAATATGACACATGAAACTGATCCACTGAGTGACAAGAAGTAGTTAACTTTTAATGTAGTCATACTTGACCAATACTCGRACAGTTCCTTTTTTGTTTTTTTACTGAGAATGYTTGACCAATACTCGGACAGAAWTTAAAGTACTGAGAACCCTGAGAAGGCAGCCCTCTTAATAGAAACAATATTACTATTATAGTACTGTAACTCACTTGGTGAAAGCACTGAAGGAGTGACTGATGGATTTACAACCCAGTCTTAAGACTGTGTGAGCAAGAACTTCAATCCTTAAAGCAGAAAATGACGGTTCTGCCACTGGGGCTGCAATACAAAACAGAAATAATCAATAYTTTACAAAAATGATAAAGGCAYCTGGAAAAAGAATGATAACAAATTGAAACAATTGCAATCTTACCATCGCCATCATCAGTTTGTCCACTAGCGCTRGGAGAWATCTCATTTAGTAATGCCTGCAGTTCATCAAAGTCTTTTTTGGCTTTTATTGCTTCAAGTAGCTGCTTAGCAATGTCACCTCCTGGTAAACCATCTAAAAACAAGTACAAAGAAATGGAAGAAGAATAAGAAAATGGAGTGGAGGAATTAAGTTAGCTGATTCCACAAGATGTAGTTTTTGCTCATTGTTTTTCTAACTTGCTGGTCTAGGAAGTGTGATAAGGAGCAAACTATTTTGCAACAAGCTTTTTGAATGAGTCTCTAAAGTAAGGATATGAAAAAAAAACAGAAGCAAAGAAGGGAAAATAGAAGTTAGGGAGAAAAGAAGAAAGAATCACATATTTAATTTTTTTTTTTTGTCTTTAACTAACATGTAAAAATTAAGAATGATTGTGTACCTTCGGTAAATCTGTATCTTGGCTGAGTAGGAGGGGGAATTAGATGTGTGAACTCATCAGGAAGGTTGTCAACCATATACTGATTATAGGAAAATCTGTATTGAAAGAGAGAACAAAGAAAGCTTAAATAAATGAATGAATGAATGAATGAACAAATGAAAGAACAAATGGATGGACCGACTGACCAACAGAGAGACAGACCAAAGACTGAATGATTGATGGATGAATAGTGGGATGTACATGTATGGATAAATGAATGGATGATGGCAAGTCAAAATTGAAATGAAATGGATGGATGGATGAACTGATGAAAGWTTGAATGGACAGACAGACAGTTGGTTGCATGGAGAAAAAGAAGGAATTTTGAATGAATTAAGAGATGTATAYTTGGATGAATGAATAAAAGATGAATGAATGCATGAAAAAGATGGGATTTACGTCTTCTAACCTTATCAGTTTCTCAATCAATTCACATATAAACTTGTACTTAGGTGAGTCAGRGTTAGAAGTGAACGATGCCCTGAAATACAGTGAAATAAAGACCATGTTATGTACAAAACTACAAGGACAACAATAAGCAGCATAACAAACCCTTACCAATCATTCCAGCTCCACTTGAAATTAAAATTACTTAAATGGTGTGATAACCAATTACAAAATCTTGAAAAAAAAAAAAAACAAATAAAGCCATTAGTTTTCTTGTCAACAGYAAATACTTATGTATCTGTAAAGTTATATTCATACTGTTATAACAAACATCAGGAGAAGCAGGGTTCAAAAAAAAAATAATGAATTACCATTTTTGCTTTTTTTGTTTTCTCACTTACTTGGTTGCTCTCTTAGTTTCCTTTCTATTTTTTGTTCAATCTTATTATACCTTATTCTTACGACATTTTCCTTTATAACACTACTGTGGTATTAAAGGCAAAGAGCAGGATCTTCATAAATCAATACAAGATTCTCACCTGTCAATACATGTAGCATTCATTGTTTCTAGATGTTCAAAAAGTAGTTCTGTAGCTTGCGCAATCTGTTTTATGTTAAAGATTTTTACTTTCAACTTTCAATCAGCTGTCCAAAGGCCTAGTCAATCACAATCGATTTCTCACAAATATTCAAGTATTTTACAGTATTTTATCAATATAAAAGAAGTCATCAACAATATACAGTGTGCAGAAACCCCACTTTCTAGCACAAAGCATGAATTCTAATGCAGTTCTTGCATTTTTATGATGATAACAATAATTTTATGTACAGCGACCTATGATTATCGTAAGGATACAATTCCAGGCATTGCATTAGGTTGTGATTTACACAACTCTATCAATAATGAATTGTAAAATATCTCAAGATGAGGTGGACTTGGAAGTCTGAACATCTCTGAAAAAATGACCTAGGGACACAAATTTATAATTATATTAATGAAATAAAAGAGCTCATGATGACCAGTGCTGGAAAAACTCTACTGTCTGTCACACATGGCAATGGAAAGTGTTTCCACTTATTAGTACTCTGTACAAAAACATTTATTTATGTTACAATCTCTGTTTTTTTTAAAAAAGGGTATTTTTCTCTCTGTGATGTCAACTGTTGTTTTATAATGAGGTTTTTAAATGATGGTAACTGTGCAATAAGAAAACAAAGCAATAAGTAAATAATATCAGTTTTTACCTCRACCACACAATAATTAAAAGGAACTTTTGACTTTCCAGGTAAATTCATAAGTTGGTTAACACTATACAAAAATAAAGCAACATAATATATCAATATACAGTGTAAAGCATCAATAGAACTCTCTAGGGGACAAAACAAAGGATTATCATCCCCAAGAGAGMAGAAATGTTTTGTTTTGTCCCACATGAAGCTGTTTTCAGATCACATGCAAGGTGTGTGTAGCACGACAGAATCATACAAGAATAATGGAAGACATTGATATTGTGATTTTCCTAGACAAGTCATGATTATGATGACAGTAATGATGATGATTACAATAATCCTTACCACTCTTTTCTGTCTTTGTGATGTGAATTCAAAACTCTTCTGATACTTTCCTCAACAAGAAATCTCTCAATGGAGTGAGCACCAGGCATTGTGGGCCCCTGGAGAAGATGAAAACACATTGAACATACATGTATGCTGGGTGGCCGAGCGGTGAGAGCGCTGGCCTGTCACCTCTGTGGACCCTGTTCGAATCTCGGTCGGGGCGCCATATGTGATTTGAGTTTCTTTCGTTCTCTCCCTTGCGTCAAGGGTTTTTCCGGGTCTTTCCGGGTTTTCCTNCACGCCTATGTGTAAGTGTCTGTAAAATGTGTCTGTAATATAGCACTTTGACTTGAGAGCGCGTCGAGCTGCGTCTTTCGCAATTCAGCACCCGTGCTGCCATGAAGGACGATTAGCACCCAACACCTTTACCCAACACCTTTACCTGTATTATGTAGTGCACTGGGGTACCAAGTCTCTACAGCTCAAATTACAATTCTAATGCAATTGATCCATTTAAACATCTGTCCCCTCCCAAATAACTTTACACAGGTATCCCAAGAATTTTTTTTAATGACTGATACACAGGTAACCCAAGACATTATCACATCAACTATACACAGGTATCCCAAGAGATTATCACATGTATGCACAGGTATCCCAAGAGATTATCACATGCATGCACAGGTATCCCACGAGATTATCAAATGAACCATACACAGACATCCCAAAAGAAGGTTTTTACCCAGCCCCTAAAAGAAATTTGCTATATATATAGGATGTCCAGTCATTCACAAACACAAAGGGTGCTAAATTAATAGAAATAGTATTAACTGTACAACCTTACCTCAGGAACGTCTGTATAATCAAACATTCTATAAATAACTGTTGGACAAGAATAGATGATGTTATCCTGGTGTGCAGGGACAGAAAACGTTGGAAGAGAATGCTGAAATCAAAAACAAATGCAGTTAAAATCAAAATGTTTTTTGAGCTCCTTTTCATGAGAAACTTAATACATGTACAATAGATAATGATACCATGTCATATGACATTTACCAACTCCTTAAACATATCCATGTYCTACCTGTAAAGCTTCTCCTAGTACACCATCAAACGCAAGATAAGGCCTTCTTATGTGCTTTTCCTAAATAGAAAGAAACATACAGAATTCATCACGTCATTTGGTATGCATGATATACAACAAGAGTTCACAATTTATGTCATTTAATAGTGAGTRTGAGAATCATCACCTGCCAGTTATCAGCTTTAAGCTTCTTGATTTGAGCCCACAGACAATCTAAGTACTGGTCAGTAAAAAACACATTAGATAAGAGTGGAATCAATAAATAATAATTTTAACAAATTTAAATAGATTTTAGCATTCAATAATCATAGAGGTTGGATGATAGGTATATGATGCTCAAATTGCATGATTGGAAGATCAGAAAGATGACAGCTCTGAGCTTACATTTATTGATCTCTATGTAAGAAGTGTAGCAATAACATTAATAAAAATAAACAAATGCAGCCCTATCTGAAGAGCAAAAGAGAGGATTTCACTTTCCAAGTGAGCAAAAATCTTTTGTTTTTCCCCAGATGAAATTGCTTTACATAACATGCAAAGGATTAATAAGTTACCTCTTCTTGAGGATGAACATCATCAGTAGACCACACCCTAAGTGCAGGTATATGGAGCTTTTGTCGCTGACTGCAAAAATATAAAACACATCATTTCAATTATTTTTTTAAAGAAATACTACAAGTTGTAGTTCATCAGACGTTTACCTTATATAGCTATCAATAGCTGCAAGCAATCTCTCCAAGTCATGTCCTTTCTTATCTGAGAGCTCTTTCCCAGCCTTATAAGTAATACAAAAGCAGTCATCAATCGAAGTGGTTGGTGTGTGTGTGGTTACTCCCATAGTAAGACAGAGAGCTACTACATCACATGTATAAGAGACTTACTACACTTAGTGTAGTATGGAAGGAAGCAATAAGAATGAAGGTTTGAATGAAGTTACTTACCCATGGTAAYGCTGACAACACACTGTAGACAAATGTGTCTGTGCGAACCTAAGAGTGAAATGTGAATAAACTGAGTTTCTAGAAAAAAATAAAAGTTCAAAACAAGAGAAAAGCTTTATATATTTTTTTTAATTTTTGATTATCAACTATTTTCTTTGGATGTACAAGGTGAAGTACATTAACAATAGACTGTTTAAAATAAAAACATGAATGTACTTATTTGAGCTGTTAACTGTGAATTTAATTTAATTTTAATTTAATTTTAATTTTTTAATTTTAACTTAATTTAATTTTAATTTTAATTTCGCATTGAAATTTAATGAAGCTCATTGTATTTTACTGGGTATAGTAGCTATGCTAATTTTCTGACCTGTGAAACATCACTCTCCATGCTAGCAGCCACAAACTTTTCAAACAATTCRATCAGTGATATGGGAAGAACTACATGACAGTTGACTAAGTCAGCTAAAAAACGCACCTAAACCAAAAACAAATCATTCAATAATGAGATCATGAAAAGGAGTTACAAGAAGGATAAAAGATGGATAAATCTGCTAATCCACCATGAGGGAGGAACTCAACAAAAGTAGGAAAAAAAGGGGAAGGGACAAAAGTGAAAAACGAGAAGGATTAATAGAAGCTCAGTTGTGGGGAGATATCRAAAATACCCACCATCAGTCTGGCTCGTTCAAACTGGTTTGAAACCAGAACATCTTTAAGATTTGCCATCATCATGTCAAGGAACTACGTGCATCAAAAAAGAAGATATTYAATATTTATTTAGTGCTTATTCTTAGAATATGGAATACATCATATTCTACATATGTAATTTATATGACATCTCATCTTAGAAACAACAACAAAAGCATAAGCTACAAAGCAAAATACCTCCTCTCCAAATTTATAGTTCTTTGCATTCAGAAGTCCAACTAAAGTACTGTAAATTGCTATCTTGTCAGGTAAATTAGTGACACTGATGAATAAACAACAGCACATAAGAAAAACTTGATAGCACAAGTCACCACTTTATTAGCACCTCCCAGGATGGTATGGGTGGGCACCACTCCTCTCCTAATTTACCCCTACGATAATGAAGAAACCAACAAAGCAATGGATCTTCAGACTTATTATGTTCATAAATCCTGTGTTTTCTCGGACCTCAGCTCCCACCACCCTTAATTAGCTAATTTAGAAGAATGAACTTGTACCATGTGCATATTATCTTCAGTATTCTGTCCTTGTAGTTTGGTAAGTCAGCCTCCAGTACATTAGAAAGTCCTTCAAGATTACTCTCAAGTGATGAGGTACTCTATGAACCAATAAACATGAGTGAGATATATATAATATTGTACAGCCAACTAAAACACTAAAGCAAGGGTTATGGCATCTTCATATGCATGATATTCATTACATGACATTTAATAAACGATTTTGACTTAAGTTTATTGAAGTTGCATTAGCTTTGATTACATTATAAGCTTATGTCTGAAATTACATGTTTAATTCTAGTTATATAAATCCTACCTTCTCTCCAACCCTTGTTATCAAAGATTCAAGCCTATCCTCGATATCCACTGTTTCTGCCATGCGTCTACGCTTTCTTGGTTTGTCATCTTCAARAAGAAGKAATGAATTTTATTGTTTCTGAATGATTATAGCCCGAAACTAACAAATGTTTACATCTGAAGTGCTAACAAAAATTTCCTCTTTGTGAATGTTTTAAACTAAGAAAAATTAAGAAGAGAACTTACCTTCATCATCGTAATATCGTTTACGGTCCCGTGACATGATTGAGYTCTAAAAATTGCTAAAAATCGATGCCGAAAACAACAAAACTTCAAACTCCTTTATAACATGTGAATAGGACAGGCTTGGATGCTTAGCTTACATCAACTGGTTACCAAGCGCTAAGCTACCAGGCCGGTAAATTCAAGATGGCGGCCGCGTTGACAAGGCAAGGTAAAAGTGTKTAAACATTTTTGTTGTATTTTATAAAGTCAAGCGTCATGATGGGAACGTATATACTTAGTGAAAAATTACTTTAATCATCATAGCGCATATTTTATAAAATGTTCTTCAAAATCATCGGTATATCAATTTTTCCTGACATGTGATGTTATGTCATTTTAACTTAAGGTCCATATTTTAATTTAACACAGGTCACATCAAGGAAGGTATTGGAAATATTTTAAATGTCTTTCGGTCATTTTATACGAAAAGAGGAMTCACAGCTATACCATGGAGTCAAACCAATCGTCAACAGCTGATAACGAAAAGTTCCCCAGCTATTTCTAGATCCAATTGGGTTACTTGTAATTGCATTAGTAGAAGGTAACTTAACATCTCGGAAAAAAAACAGTGAAATTTATTTATCATTACATATTGTATTTTATTGCAAAAAAATTGTATTGTGAACATTGATACATGATGATAATGTATGTCAAGTGAGGGCTGGKGGGAGGGGAGGGAGGGGGAAGTTTTCTAACACTTTGTTATGGATCTCCAGTGTCCTTTTATTATTACAAACTATCARCAGATTTACAGCCATCTTTTTATTAATGTTTTAGCCTTGCAACAAAAGCAAGACGTATGATTCCTTTTGATTCTTCCAAGTTCAGTGAACAGCCAATCATTTACATAAACTCAACCTATAACAACACAATGTTGACATTAACAGATCATAAAGGTAYGTTACCTCCATCACATCCCATAGCCTCCATAGCAAATGTCTTACAAATTTMATTATGTAAGAGTTCAAGGGCCACTGTCAATGGCACGCATGCGCGAGTAAACTTGAAAACACTAGGCTAGTGTTTTCAAGTTTATGACTCCAAGTTGGCGCGACATAAATCAGCTCGTAAATGTAAACAGATCTAGAATATTCCAAAGTGTGTCAAAAGCACCACAAAATGATTTACCTCGAAGGTAATACTTTCAAAGTCTGTTAGAGGTGAGACTGTTACTGCGCATGTCATCCATTGACAGTGTCCCTTTCAAGGGTTTACTATGTGAGATATCAGCTTTAGAGGGCAATTGCTTCACAAAGGCTTCAAGTTGAAAATCAGAATAAACACAGTTTAAATGAATGTCATTAGAGGGARTAGAACCCATTGAAAGAACAATTCTACAACCTTGCAGCCTTGGAGACCCAGTTTTCATCTTGACTTTGATACTTTCTCCTCTGACTCCTAACTTTAGCCTGGTTTTTAATACAACTTAAACCTAAGCCCAATGCTAAGTGCAAGGCTCATTTATTGTATCAGTTCAAAATTGAACCTAACTTGCCATCTTTTCTATAAATTTGAAAATAGTTTTTATTTTTTCTTGAAGGGAATACATTAGCCTGGACATCTGCAGTAAGTACATGTATTACAGCTTTATATTGTTGTTTTTTTTTGTTTTTTCTTTCTATTGCTTGTTTTGTTATATCTGCCTGTTTATTTTAATTATTCTACATATTCTAGGGAAGCGAGGGATATAAGAATTCCAAACGAGGAACTAGTGTRGCAGCYCAACAAGCTTCTGTTTCACTAGCAAAGGTYTTCAMTCTTACAAATTAKCTTTTTTCTTGAAACATTGCATCAAAGTCATTTTGTTATTTACAGAAAGCAAGTGAAATTGGTATTCAAARAGTTCGAGTAAAAATTAAAGGTGTTGGCAATGGAAGACAGGTAAATTTATAATTACACCAAATCGAATTCAAATAATATGCACCTAATCAYTAAAATATTGACCAAGAAATAGCACTTTTTCAATTCTGGAAAAATCGAGTAAAATATAAAGAAAGCATTAAGCTTGAGTGATCAACTTGTGTCTTGTAATGGATTTCCTGAACAAATCTTAGGAAAGCTTTTTTGCAATTGAATGTACCTGTAGACTTTCACAAAGTCCCTTTTATTCCCCTCCACTCTCATTTTTTTTCTTGCGCTTCATGCTTGAAGTTCTATTCTTTCTTTTTCTGAGTCCAAAGAGAGTCTGACTTGTAGCAAGTCTAATGTACCTGTAAAATAGATAGCTAATAAACTAGTGACTAGCCAAATATTAGGAAGAATCTGTAGAACTTTTATTTACAGATTATATAATTTTATTTTTGAAAAACCTGGGGTTTAGCTCCACAAATCACCCTCCAAGATCTACTGCCTACAGGGGCGGATTTAGGGGGGGCCCAGGGGGCCGCGGCCCCCCCTTTACCGATGAAAATGCTGGAAATCGCATCTCTGACGGTCTCAAATTTCAAAATTTCCCGGCGCTCAATTGGACACAAGACACATCCGGCCCCCTCTTTTCAAAAATCCTAAATCCGCCCCTGGCCCATGCTTACATTACATTACTGTCTGGCTCAGACAAAATTCATGACATGCAGTTAGGGATAAACTGTCTTAATTTCTCAACCAAAATTGCAAATTGCACTCTTTTTGATTGATAGTAGTCTATTGCTAATTGCAGTTGCTAAGTTTTATCTAGAAGGATCAGGTAGCAAAAAAGTGATGGTAAAAAATTTACTATGCTAGTAMGTGCAACTTATCATGTCCTGAAGGYGATGCTARTTCTTGTAAGCATACTCTACTAGGCATCAACAASCATGTTTCAGATGAGTAAACATGACTTGGTAATGATGGATAATATTATAAAGAATTATCAAACATTTATGGTTTTCACTTTCCAGGCATCTGTTAAAAGTCTGGTCAGTGCTGGGATTGTTATCGTATCACTCACTGATGTTACTCCTATTCCTCACAATGGCTGCCGACCCAAGAAAGCAAGAAGAAAGTAGAATTTAATTATGTAAATATGAGTTCTAAACTGAAAATAAAGTACTTCATACTTTTGAAGCCTTAGTGAATCACTGGGTTTGCAAAAAGAACGTGATTTTAAATTCGACATTGATGAAATTGTGGGACAGTTATTTTTATGAGGCAATTGATATAACTAGACAGTGTTTTTTTTTTTTTTGTTCCACTTGAGTTATTAACACAAACAAGTAAACTATTTCAAAATAAAATGAAAATATCTAAGCATCCCGCTAGGTATAATGGTACTAATTACTGTTTTGTGAAAGGATAATAAACGGTATCCCTTGTATCAAGGGCATTCTACTTTTTCTAGCACTGCTTACAATTGGGGTGGGCTGACTGGGGTRAACACAAAGCCAAAATCTTGTCCAAACCCTAATTGTACACAATGTTGAAAAATTGAGAATACGTGTGACAGCTAGACTGCAAGGTTGAATGGACTACAAGTTGAGCCAATGCTCGGCTGAATTGATTATCAACTCGTACCTCACGAGACCAAGTGGCGTGATTTTTTATCAACTATTAGGGTAGATTTGTAGAAAATACTGCAAAGATCAAATTTTTCTGCAATATTTTTTCGACTATTTCTTTTCACTTGATATGACCTTTGTCTGCCATGAACAGACTATAGTTCAGTAGCCAATCATATTGCTGGATTTTTGATAGCTTATTAACAGTTGGGTGAATACCAATAATTATTGACGTTTAAAAGAAGGATCGCTGTCCATGCACTTCTAAAGTGAGAAAAAGTGATGGATATGACTGCCCAAACTTAAAAATATATACCATTTTCGTAAGTTACATGTTGCGGCTAGACTTCAGTAAACCCGCACGTGAGTTCAGAAGACCGCCACGCCTCTATCCGCATGTTTATGCATGAAGTCGATGATCTAGAGTACTAAAGTGATGACATCACAAAACGAAAATGTTTGAGTTTTGAAATTTGCCCTCTATATTCTGAAAAAGTGCATCATTTTTAATGCATCCTTGCCAAATATGAGTGTCTTAGTGTCATTTGTAGCGGAGATAGAAGCGATTTTATGGTATGGTGACCACATACAAACGCTTGTAAATTTGGTCTTGTTCATAACGAAAAGTTCATCCGACTTGCGATCTCCGCTATAAATGGCACTAGGACACTGAAATTTGGCAGATAGCTACTTTTTTCCATGCGCTTTAAGGATATGTCAACGAATCCGAAAAATTCGAAAAAAAAAATATTTCTGTGACGTCACACTTTAGTACTCTATTACCAGACTATGAACACTTGTGCAGAGAGGCCTGTCTCAGTTGAAGAACATACATCTTGCAGGGAAGAGGGCGCCACCTAGAGAAACGAATTTGTTGTAGTTAAGGTTTTTCATTCACGCTTGCATTTTTGTGGTAATAAGCCTTCAGCTGGGAGTGCAATGAAGTTTTTTTCTGAGCGAAATGTTGCTTTGTTTCAAAAGCGATGCACATTAAACCACTTAAGTTGCGAAGTTCAAGAACGAGAACTAAGAAGACAACAGGCCTAGTTTTTACTTAGGTGTGCTGATTTTAAATATAATCGGGTTGGCTGCTTGATGTGTATTTAGCATGGGATTTGCAAGGCTGATATCAGGATTGCAATTTGATGCTAACATCCAGACARTACGTGCGTGCCCTCGAGTTCTCGTTCTCCCTATCAAAATATCCACCCAGATGCTATTCCGCTTACTGACTGCACATTCTCGTTTTTAGGCATTATAATCATAGTGCATGGTCTAGTTGTTCTAGTATCCACCAAACCAAAATACAAATTCGAAAAAAGAAAACAAAAACAAAACAATGTTTTTACTATTTTCGCCCTTATCGATATCATCATGTCCTAACGTCGCCAATCAGAATGCTGCATTTAGTGCACACAAACAGAATATCTAGCAGAATTAGCAGAATTGTAAAGAAGTCACTATCATCTAATCCCTTCCTCCTAATCTAGCAAGCCTGATTGTCGCTTCATTTCTTACTAGAAATTTGTGATCTTTTCAACGCTCAAAGCCATGCCTTTTAAGAAGCAAATAAGACAAGTGCAGAAAAGATTGAGGGAGGTTCGAGAAGAGAGGGGCTGCCTGAGGACCATGGAGTTATTTGTACTGGACAACTCTCTCCGGGAAAGCACAGTCGGCCAGCTTCGTGGCCACACTATCGAAAACAAATGGAAAATCTACAACGAGGTATTAGCAATATATGACTGATTCTTTAGTGAGTAAGATGTGAGTAATCTAATTAATGCATGCAAACCATTAGAAAATACTCTTCAAAACTGTTCGCCGTGACGCGCCCAATGAAAGCCTCATCATAATAGTTAATAAATTCCTAGACTGACATCCAAATAATTGAGTAGTTGTCTCTTGAATGTCGTGCCGTCTTTCTATGGTAGACCGTGTACGTCTTCGATAGGGCCAATAGCTTTTTAAGCATTATTTTTATTATCAATGACAACTTGAAACTTTAACTCGAAGCTAAGCGAACTACATGCATCATTTCTCTAAGGCTCACAAAACTTGCAAACAGCTTAAAACTATATGTATGAATTCATTAAGAATACTCTTACTCTTAATTGGTTTCCACATTTTAATAACATAATACAAAGTTGTTTATTCATGCGAATTATAAACATTATCAACAAAGTTAGGCGTTTATCTGCAGATGCGATGTCTTGTACGCCTGCTAAATTTGATTCTTCAAACATAATTGAATTGTAGTTAGAGAAGCCTAAAATAAGACGACAAAAGATTCAAAGAGATAGCAAAAATAATACTTGTAAAGCTGAGATGATCCACTTTAATATCTTAACACTTAAAAGTGTTGTCTGTGAGAAGCCACACAAATTACGCTAAAATTTTTCAGCTCCAGTTTTTTTTTGCGCTGCTATAAAAAAAACGCAGTGTAGGAATGCATTCAAAATCTGCAACGCGTATCACACTCCACGAGCAATTCTGAAGATAGAAAAAAGAAACCGCTTTGGTTTAGTAACGTTCTACATGAAGCATTGTGCATGGTAAATGCTGCAATATACCTGTATTCTTTGTTTGCATCCACAAAACGAGAATAATAATCGCCATCATGTTGGATGAATGGACAAGAATGCTATAATTGCCACCTTCAACATGGCGTCGATAACATCTCTTGCACAACAAAAAATATCTAGAGTTAAACCAATCATAGCATTATTTATAATAAAATCTCAAAACGCACATGTGAAGATTGTTATTAAATAATACATCTTAAATGAAGTTCTGCTATAAGCTCTTACAAAGACGACGTTCCGCTCCGTTCCGTAAAATGATAAAATAGTGTTTTGAGATATTAACGCAACAAAACTAAACGAGATTCCCTTCACGTTTTCCCTGTAGATCAAGAAAGTTGGTTTCCAACACATCATCGTGGCGTCATTCTCCCACATGACTCGTCTCGGTGACACTTTCATCAAACAACTCAAAGAGAAGGGAGAAGACTTTGACAAGTTCTACGCGTTTAGCGAGTT